ACCTGTGTGTTAGAAACTTAATCACCAATACAGTGTTGGGAGGTGGGACGTTTAAAAGGAGATTAGGTGAGGAAGTCCCCGCCCTCATGAATGCTTTAACGGTGTTACTGCAGGACAGGGTTAGTTCTCTTGAGAGTGGGCTTGTTATAAATGTGAGTTCAGCTTTCTCTTGAGTGTACTCTTGTTTTTTCACCAGACGATGCACACAAAGGCCCTCAGCACATTCAGTGTCTCAATCTTGGACTTCTCAGCCTCCAAGACTGTAAGAAATACATTTTCTTTTCTTTATAAATCACTCAGGCTACAGTATTCTGCTACAGCAATACAAAAGGAGGAGTGCAAGAGGAACACGTTAAACTACACCATGGAAATGCGACTGGCAAACCCACACCGCGGAAACAGTGCTGGGGACTTTCTGTCGTGATGGAAATGTTCTATGGCCTGTGCTGTTCAATACAGGTGTGGTGTCTGAGGTCTCCGAGTGTGACTAATACACTTGAAAAAGTGAGATATTATTTTATTTGACTTTAATTTTAGTTTGAATGACCACGTGGTTGATGGTTACCCTACTGAAGAGCACAGTCATGGATCAGGAGTCAGAAAACTAGTCCTGAAGAGTAAAGACTAGCTTTTGTATTTTTAAAGAGATGTAAATGCAACAACAAAGAAGAACATAAAATGGAAACCACAGGTGATTTACAAGGCTTAAATACTTGCTTTCTTTTACAGAAAGCTTCCCGACTCACGGTCTAGACTATAAAACAAACAACACAGCTTCCTTAATCCTGATTCAAATATACAAATTTAAAAACCAAATGACATTGATGAGACAAGTTGAAATTTGAATACTGATCAGGTATTTGAGAAGGAGTTATTTTTAGCTGCAATAGTGATGATGTGGGGCTAACATTGTTAAGAGCCTTTATCTCCTTGATATCATACTATATATATTGTGCTGTACAAAAGAGTTCTTATAACTCTGAAGTATGTAAATTTTTACAGATCAATGACTCCTGGAATTTGCTACCAAATAACATGGGGTGAAGAGTGGCAGGAGGCGTGAGTGGAACAGAAATTTATCATGGATTGATTTTTGTTACAGTTGATTGATGAGCATGTGGAATTTACCGTACTATTCTGCTTCTGTATATATATGAAATTCTTTATGAAGAAAAGCTAAGAAGAATACAGTGGACATTTTCCCCAGTAAGCTGTGTGCTGGAGGACGCATCCGCCTCAGAGTCACCTGGGAAGAGAGTAAATCCTGTTCAAATGCAAACACCTGGGCTCAGCTGCAGCCTGACTGAAAGAAGAGCTTTTGGATCTTACACCCAAGAAAATGCAATTTCAACAGGCTCTCCTGGTGATTCTTATGTTCACTAAAATTGGAAGACTACTGATTAACACTGAGCGATTACTTCATAAAAGTAAACAATCACTTCTAAATTAATTCGTTTTGCAAATTCAGACTTTTGAATATTAATTTTCTTGAATCCAACCAAAGTTTTATTCCTGTGCAACTCATGCTATCCAGCGTAATTTTAATGTTCCAAGTAAAGTCACAACTCTACTAAAGCAACTGGGGATATAGCTCAGTGGCACAAGCACCTGCCTGGCAAGTGCAAGGCCCTGAGTTCAATTCCTGGCACCAAAAAAAAAACCACTAAAGGGCAATGTATGATTCGAACATGTCCTTTGCTTTTAAAGTCCATATGTTACAGAAATAATCTATATCCAGCGTTACAGGGCAGTTTCCCACAATACAATTGGCTAACTTCAGGGTTCACATCCCTGGATGCAACTCATCTCAGAGGGAAAGTATTTGGAGAAAACCTGTATGTTCTGAACATGTACAGACCGCTTTCTCATCATTATTCCTTAAACAATACAGTATAACAACTATATACACAACATTCCATCGTATTAGGGATTATGAGAAATCTAGAGATGATTTAATGTATTTGGGAAGATATGTGGCGGTTATATGCAAACATTACACTATTTTGTAAAAGGTACTTGTGTGGATTCTGGTATTTGAGGAGGGTCTTGGAACCAATTCCCACTCAGATACCATGGGACAATAATTTAGCTTGGTGGAACACACAAGGCTTCAAAACTAAGGCGATGCAGATACAAATCCTCATACTACCACTAGGTTTCCTTTTTTCTTTGTAAAACAGAGGTCAAAGTGACCTCTCTATAGCAAGCCTTTGAAGATTAAATTATAATGTGTAGAGTGCTGAACATATTAAAGCTTAGCAAATATTAATTGCTATCATCTCAAACTGCCTTAACTTTGAGAGTTCACCTTATATCAGAGCAACTGGGATGGAATTAGAGAAGTTATTTGTTCAGGGGTGTCCATCCCTAAAACACACAAGAACAGAATATGGAAGTTCTCTTGACATTTAAATACTTGCCCTTTCAACAAGTTCTTCCATATTCTTGATTGAATGTTCTTGCCGTTAGAAGTTTCCTGCGTCTCTTTATCTTTAGAAAAGATGAGCAAGCAGAGAGGGTCTTTTTTCTAATAATCCTACGGATCAAGCCTTCCACTTTTGTACCAGGCACTCTGATACTTACCCCGCCACAAACACACCAGTGCGACACTATGTTTGGTGTCACGGCTATACACTCCTATCTGATTTTACAGCTTGGATTTTAACCTCACTTTTTTTGCGGCCATTTTCTGGTCGCATAACTTTAAATAAAATTAGATTTACCTGTGCTTTATTCTCCTTATCGGTTAAATGTGGAATACTTCATAGCATTGGAAAGATTAAGCAAGAAATAGGGCATAAGGATCTAAGAGCATGTGCCTGACACACAAAATACTTGATACAAGTCAGCAACTATTATTATACGCTGATACTGGTTTAGATGTGTCCTCTGCTCTAATTCCCCACTCCTTCAATTGCAGAATCTCCCCCGCTGGAGCCCCGCAACAGCCCTACTAAAGCTAGTTACTGTCGGGAAACAACGCTGTTTCCGTAACTGATCTTGAAGACTAGCCAGCTGCAGGCTCTGATACTTGTTGAAGAAGTATCCAAGAAATAACGACGCGCAGCCTCGGCTCCGCCCCGCCCTCGAGGACGCGCGGGCACGCTCGGGGCGCGCACGCCGCCGCGTGGCTCCGGGACCCGGAACCGCGCTCGGCCCGGAAGACAGCTCGGCTC